TTTACAAGCCAACTGCAATGCAACAAGATTGAATGCAGCTCAAATGCACATGAAGAGATCTCAAGTTCGGTCCGTCGATAATTCTGGACACTATTTCAAAGCTATACGCGGTCTGGATTACGCCAGACTCTTATTCTGCTTTGAAAACGGGGTTTCTGTTCGAAATCTATAGAGAGAAACGAATATTAAGACCGCAAAGACCTGGGTCTACCAAGCTCTACCACCACTTTTAAAACTGGCTTAAAACTGAACAGTAAGGTTGGAAAGCATTCGAAAGTGCTCTCGCTAAACACCAAACTACGGCTTTTCGACGATTGCCGCATCTTTGAGGCCGAATCAACAGCTCTAAAGGAAGCCGCCATCTAGCTCAGTTGTACCGCAACCAGTCAGACAGTCTACCACCAACTACTCTGACAGTCAATCTGCGATTAGATCCCTAAAAGCAAGAGCAACTCTTCGAAGGAGCAATCGAATTTGGAATTTGTGAAGATTTTCAATAAGTTGGTTGGGAAAATGGCAATACTTGGCTGTTCTTGACTCTGTGGATATCCTCAGTCTTCAACGCTTCGTAAAGAAAACAAACTGGTTCCACCACCTGAGAAGTGAGTGAACAGAATATGAGCTCGATCAAAATGCATCAAAATGAGCCATATCGGTCTAAGTGTGGATCCCTGTCGGTAGTACAGGCTTCAGCCACCGTTACCTCACCTCACGAATTTCGTCCCATATTTGACTAATGGCGTATTTATTTAGATTTTTAATTTTACATAGGGCCCGAATATACGTAACAAGAATGTAAAAAAGCATCGACCCTATCAAATCTACTTCTAGCCACAATTAAACTTGCATTCAATTTAAATTTTATTAAAACGAAACGAAAACTTTATTACCTAAGGAATCTAATGCCATACACTGCGTACACTTTGTGGCTGCAAATTTTCACACCAATAAAAATTAAAAATAATTTCACCGAACACCTGTTGCAACCGCAAATGCACAACGATATGTTGTCCAGTTGCGTCACAACACCGCACGCTGCAATGCCTTGGCTACGAGCACCAAATGCCACTCGCGCAAACGATTTGTCCACTTCAACTCGAAATTAAATCAAATATGTTTGCATATTTTAAAATTATGTGTGCAATATACATATGTACTATGTGCGAAAACGCGCGTACATTGCATTCTCACGCAAAAATAATTTGATTAAATTGTCACTCATACGCCGTGGTGTGTGATTGGCCGTTGCGGTTGTCGCTGCTGGGCGAGGCGTTATTTGCAGTGAGTGTTGTGCAGTTGAGCTTATTTAATTTTTAATAAATACATGTGTATGTGTGTGTGTGTGTGTTCAGTGGCCAAACGCAGTACACTCATTTGTGTCAGTGGTTTACCCTCAAATGCCGCTGATTCAGCTGCAGTTGGTGATAAAGCGTGGGCGTGCGCCGCGAACACCCTTGAAAAATACATACATACATACATACAAATGTGCATATTTTCCTATAAATTACCAACTGCAACAATCAGTTTTTCAATTCAAAATTACAACCGCAAGATTTATATACACAATTTGTCGCGTTGCGGCAGTGATCAGC